TTCCACACCTGGTCACCGGGGTGATGCAGGCCCGGGCAGCGTTTCACTCCACGCACACGGGCAGCCACGAGTTGGGGGCCAAGTCCGTGTAGCTTGCCACCGCCACCACAGTTCATTTCAAGGCTTCACCTCTATCAGACTTTCTGTATTATTGGTGGGTAAGAAAAAAACATTTCAAGCTTGTTTGTAAGACCACTATGCCATACCTCGTGCAGGAAAGGGCTCAGGAAAGGTCCGAGATGGGCCCTGGGCTGGCATGCAGGCCTCAAGCATTCCCCGCGACAGTCAGCACATGAGAGTGGTTGCTGTGCCTACACACTGTGCACACAACGTGGTTGACACTGAACTCCTGGGAGTCTGCTACATGCTAGGCAAGGGGCCCCCACACGACCAGTTCCCAAGAAAAACCTTCAGGACCCAGCCTCCACCAGGCTCCCCTGGGCAGAAGCCCTCACACGTGGCTGCATTGTTGTTGCTGGGGGGAGTGTGCTATGTGCGACCCCTCATGGGAAGGAGAGCCGAAGGCGGGCTCACAGGGACTCTCTGCTTTCTCATGGTCCAGCTGTGCGTCCTTACCATGCCACCAGGATGGATCTCAGCTACACTGAGTCCCGTGAACCTCTCCAGCAAAGCTCTGAATTAAGGGGTGATCTTGGGGACTCCCGACACAGGCACTTACACAGCTCCTCAAAAACGTTTCTCCACTCTTATTTGGCACCTTATTTGCATTTTGAGAACTGAGCTCCCAGAGGATTTACTGTCTATAAGGGCATGAACAACAGACCAACAAAAGTCCCCAGAGGAGAGGAACCTCTGTGTGAAGCCCAAGTTCAGGCGCCAAGGTCTGCAAACTCTGGCTGCAGGAAAACCCTGGGGGTGGAGGGCTCAGACACAAAGCTTGAATCAATAAAGCCAGCTCCAGGTCGAGGCCGAATTTTAATATACACAAGCGGAAACCTGCAATGAAACAGTATTACACCCACACTTACACATGCCCCAGGCGGGACCAGCGAAGGCCTTTACTTATCTGGAGGTGTGAAGATAAAATTATTTGACAAAGTATGAAGACAAGCATACAAACTAAACTATTTCTTTGTCCAATCTCATTTTTAACTAATGCTAAGACTTTAAAAGATAAGCGTGAACATAATTTCAAAGTATGGCATCCAGTCATCTAAGGAGCCCACCAGCACCTATGCTGTCCACTCAAAACAATGAAGTGAAACAGAAGAAAACCAAAAAACAAAAAAATGCAAATACAGGTGAACAATACAGCACATCGCAGAATACAACGGGGTCGTGCTCTGGGCTCATCCAATTGTGCACCTTACTCCCTGCTTTACCCCCTTTTGACAAGATCCCTGGGAAGCCTGCCGTGGGGATAAGATGTGGGGCCTCCTTGGGTTCATATATAAAGGGCAATGGGGCCCACTGCCGGTGACTATGCAGATCCACAGTGAGCAAACAGACAGGTGCCTGGGAGTGTGAGAGGCTCGGAACGGAGGACACAGTAGAAGCCGGGGGGGGGGGCAGCCTGGTAACTCGCCCCAATGCTCCCTGCTTCTTGACATTCATGCCTTCTGTAGCCCCTCCCCCAGAGTATGGTCCAGACCCAGTGACCTGCTTCTAATGAACATGGCCGAGTGACAAGATGTCATTCCAAGATCCTACTGTAAAAGACTTCACTCAATTACACATTAAAAAAAAATAATTGTTCAAGCATATTGATTTTATTCGACTTTTAATATCTTCACTTTTTTTTTAACCGTTTGATTTACTGGTTTCTGAAAGAACGTAATAAAATCTCCAAATACAATTGTTTAAAAAAAAAAAAAAAGGCTGCTTTCTCTCTCTGGCTTTTCTCACTTGTTTTCTCTGAGGAAGTGGCTGCCGTGTTGTGAGCTGCCCTGTGGAGGGGCCCGTGTGGCAAGGAGCTGAGGGCAGCCTTCAGTCGATGGCCTACAGCGAACTGAGGCTCTTGATCCAACAGCCCAAGGAGCTGAATCCTTGTCATCAATGAGTGAGCTCAGAAGAGGATCCTCCCCCTTGAGCCAGGACATGACCCTGGTCCCAGCTGACAGCTTGATTACAGCCTTATAACAGACCCTGAGCCCAAGGACCCCACTAAGTTGCACCCACATTCCAGACCCACAGGGAGTGTCAGTTAAGAACTGTGTGCTGTTCTAGGTTACTGAGTTTGGGGTTAGTTGCTATCCCCCAACAGAAAACGAATATACATCAGGGTAAGGAATAATGTTCTTCAAAAAAGCCCCTGCCATGGAGTTGATTCTAACTCCTAGCAACTCTCTAGGACAAAGCAGGACTACGCTGTAGGGTTTCCCAAGGCTGTCAGTGTTTACAGAGTAGACAGCCACATCTTTCTCCTGCAGAGCAGCTGCTGGGTTCAAACCACCAACCTTTTGGTGAGAAGCTGGGCATTTAACTACTGTGCCACCAGGGCTCCTTAATCACGTGCTTAGAGAAGTGATAAATCATTTTTGTGAATTCTGAACCAGCACTTACAAATTATTTATACAGGGTGAACTAAGCTGAGTAGTTTCTTTGGCTACAAGAAAGACGACCAAAACTTTACAACCTGAAGCAGGAGGCTAGAGTCTGCTGTGCAAACGGAATTTCTCCAAGAATCTGAGCAGGGCTTTCTGACCTCCTGCACTCGCCATCAAATACATGAAAATCAAACTCTGTGTATTTCTGCACATCTGTAAGCCAACTATGTTGCTGTTGTTGTTGTTATGTGCCGTCGAGTCGGCCCCGACTCATAGCGACTCCCACTTGGGTTTCCGAGGTAGCATCACTACAGAAGTAGGATTGCCCAACCTTTCTTCCAAGGAGTGGCTGGTGGGTTTGAACCGCCAGCCGTCTGGTTAGCAGGCAAGTGTCTTAGCCACTATGCTACCAGAGCTCCCAAGCCAACTATACAATTCCTAAATTTCCAGCAGGCTTTAAAAAGATAACGTAAACCATGGTGTGTCCTTGATCTGTACAGTTAACTGCCACGTTTAGCACTGAGCAATTCCATTTACATGAATGTCCAGAGTAAGCGGATCCACTGGGATAGAAAGACGAGGAGTCGCCAGGTCGGAGGGAGGGGTGGGGAGGGACTGCTAACAGGTACAGGGCTCTCCTGGGGGTGGTGCAAATGTTCTGGAATCAGACAGTGGCGGTGGCTGCAACACCTCGTGAGCATGCGAGAAACCACTCGCAGCATGCTTACAGATGGTTGAGTATTACGGTATGTGAATAGATCTCCAGAAAGACATTCTTTTCTTAAGTTAGTTATGAAAGAAGTTAACATTTCCATGGCAGCATCTCCCCAACTATTTACACTCCATCCCCCAACAGGTGCATGAGTGGCGTCTGCTGTAAGGTGTGGAAGTGAGGCCACCAGCTGCCACAGCGCCAATCCCACCGAGGGCAGAAATCTGCATCTTCCAGGAACATGACGAGCAAAAATCCTCCTCTAAAAAAATCAAGAAACCAAACTCACTGCCGTCGAGTCAGTCCTGACTCAGCGCCCCCTCCTCGGGTTTCCGAGGCAATATCTCTACAGAAGAAATGCTCCTCTAGAAGACGGGTATTCATTTTTCAGATGTGTTTTTGTTCACTTACATATATGAGAAGGCGCTCTGGTAGCGTAGTGCCTAAGGCACTTGACTGCTAACCAGAAGGCTGGTGGCTCAAACCTACCAGCCACTCCTCGGAAGGAAGGTTGGGCAATCTACTTCCATAGTGATATCGCCTCGGACACCCAAGGAAGGGTCGCTATAAATCGGGTCCAACTCGACGGCACATAACAACAACAACAACATTATATATGAGATCCATATTTCTAAGACTTAAACCCATTTAAACATAATCTTGTAAAACAGGTAGCCCCCAACTGATGACACACTTGAGGAATGAGGACTGTATGTTGTTTGTTTCAGTACAGCTCCTATCTCACTGTCAATAACTTGTACTATAGATGGTGTTACAGCATACAATGTGCTGGTGTCATTATTCTCACAATAACCGCCAAAGACAAAGATCAGATCATAAAGATACTGATAATCAAAGGCAATGATGAGGAAAACTTAAAAAAAAAAAAAGTAGTACTTGATTTATGTCAGAACCTACTTACAACAGAGTCATCAAAAGGGCACTTGTCAAAAATTGGGGACTACCTGTACTTAACTGGACGCTGCCGCCATCAGAACAGGAGCTCTGGTACCATAGTGCCTAAGGCACTCGACTGCTAACAAGAAGGCTGGTGGTCCAAACCCACCAGCCACTCCTCAGAAGGTTGGGCAATCTACTTCCGTAGCGATACCGCCTTGGAAACCCAAGGAGGGGTCGCTATGAGTCGGGTCCAACTCGACTGCACATAACAACCATCAGAATGGAACGTGCGCAAACTGGAGACTACCTGTACTTCACTGGATGCTGCCCGCTATGAACCATAGGGTGAAAACACTTACTGAACGAAAACATTTAAAGAGGAAAAATGGGTGAATCTTTTTGAAGTTAAGATTTCCATTTCAGCACCTCACTATCTCAGTGCCCTTTGCAGACACATATGTAGGGTGGCACACACTTCCCACTGTTATACAGTAAAACATACCCTATACGCTGTACCCAGCAAGACTGTCTATTACGTAACGTAAGTCCTGGTGTTTTAAACAGAGGCAGAGTCTTTCAATGAGAACAGGAGGGGGAAGAAAACATTTACACTCTGTACCATGATTAAAAGGAACTGGAGACAGATCGACTGAAAAACAACAAGTCTCGACAATGATAATCGAGAGAATGGGTTTCCCTTATACCGCTTGTTTTAAGTATCTAGTATCGTAAACCTGAATGCCGACTCTGGCTGACTCAGCAGTCTCAGTGATTTCCATCCTGAACATCACACAGCACTGAGGGGCGTGGGTGGCGGCCTCTCCCGGGGCGCCAGCGTCAGCCTGCTCTCAGAAGAGGTGAGCCACTCAGGGGCACCCTGGTCAAATGCTTCGGTAGTCGGAGCTCCGGGCTACAAAGGCGGCGGCTTCCCACTCCACAGCGAAGAACGAGATTGTTCCAAAGAACCCGAAGATCACCATAACCAGGAGTTGCCAGTGGAGGAGAAGGTAGTTGCTGTAGAAAAACGCCACGGCTGCGCAGATGGACTACGGGCAGACAGAGCAGACCGGTCAGACACACACAGGGCCCTGAGTGGGGCAGCACCACCCACCAAAGGGGCGGCGGTCCTGGTGCAGGTCCTCTCCCCTCCCGGCATCTAGACACGACTTCACTGCTCACTGATACGGAAACGTGCACCCTAACTCCCCACCCCTACCCCCACCCCTGACAGCTGGTAACATTCGAGGAAGCTACAATCTTTGCTATGTAAAATACTGCTTTGTGAAGACTTACAAGTGCAGACAGTCCCAGGGTCACAAATGTCCAACTTATGGACAACTCTTCCTTTCCACCCACCCACTGCCCTCGAGTTGATTTTGCCTCATAGCAACCCTATAGGATCAAGGAGAACTGTCCACAGGGTCTCTAAGGCTGTTAATCTTCACAGAAGCAAAGCCCAAGCCACATCAACTGCCTGGAGTCGATTCTGACTCACAGCGCCCCCAGAGGACAGAGTGGAACTGACCCACAGGGTCTCCAAGTCTGTAGTCTTCATGGAAGTAGATTGCCACATCTTTCTCCCATGGAGCAGCTGGTGGGTTCCAACTGCTAAACCTTCAGTTAGCAGCTGAGTGCTTTAAACACCAGGGCTCCTTGGACAACTACTTGCCCTTGAATGTTATGTAAATCCGCCCTCACTTTGAACCAACTGAACCAAGCCCTAAACCAAAAACCAAGCTCACTGCTGTTGAGTCGATTCGATGCATAGCGACCCCTCCTTGGGTTTCCAAGGCAGTATCTCTATGGAAGTATATTGCCCCATCTTCCTTCCGAGGAGTGGCTGGTGGGCTTGAACCACCAGCCTTCAGGCAACAAATTCTTAATCACAATTGCCTTCACTTGCTGCACATGCAGATTTTAAATCACTGAAAAGGCTTTAAGACTTTTCTTGCACTAAAACCAAAAAAACTAAACTCACTGCCATCGTATGACTCATAGCAACCCCCTTTGGGTTTCTGACATGGTAAATCTTTACGGAAGTAGACTGCCCAGTATTCTTTCTGCAGTGTGGCTGGTGGGTTTGAGCCACCAACCTTCTGGTTAGCAGTCTAATACCTTAGGCACTACACCACCAGAGCTCCTTTTTCTTGCACTAAAGTCAGGCTAAATGAGAACCGTCTGCAGCTGTTCCCACTCACCTACAAATTTGACTTTAAAGACACTTTAGGACCAGGGCTTCTCTCTACCCTGGGACAGCCTGTAGTGAAATGGCACACGTGCATAGTGGGAAATGCTCTCATCTGTATTACAAACAAGTGGAATTCTGGTATCTACAGCAGGGTGGAACTGCCCCCACAGGGTCTCCTAGGCTGTCAATCTTCACGGAAGCAAAGCCCAAACCACACCCACTGCTGTGGAGTGGATTCTGACCCACAGCGCCCCTAGAGGACAGAGTGGAACTGACCCACAGGGTCTCCAAGGCTGTCAATCTTCACGGAAGCAAAGCCCAAACCACACCCACTGCCATGGAGTCGATTCTGACCCCCAGCGCCCCTAGAGGGCAGGTTAAGCCTTTCTAGTTAAGCCATAGAGACCACAGTGTAAACTTTCTTAGCCATGTGAGGGGAAAATCCCACTGCTCGTTGCTTTCTGATTCTACTCACAAGGCCTTGGAAAGGCTGCCTTTCGGTAAGAAACCACAGAATCAGTGTGGTGGTACTGCTGATGTGCCCGGACGTCTGAGTCCACCTACCCACAGGCAGCTTGGAAGGAAGATACAGCAACCTGCTTCTGAAAAACCAGCCAATGACAATCTCATGGGGTGCAGCTCTCCCAACACACGCGGGGTCGCCATGGGTCATAACCTCACAGGGTGCAACTCGCCCCTGAAACATGCGGGGTCACCATAGGTCACAACCTCACGGGGTGCAGCTCGCCCCTGACACACACGGGGTTGCCATGGGTCATAACCAACTCAACAGCAAGTGGTTTAAACGGTCCATAATTCATAGATTATATACAACTATTCAGGTCAAGAACCCCCGACACTAGTCCCGAAGACAGCAAAGCTGTAGTGCTAACACACAGCCCCCTCTGTGAACCCTCTGGAGAAGAGAAGCGGCTACCTGGACAAACTTGAAGACGGCGAACGCTGGCGCGCTGTCCTCAGAATACAGGAATCCCAGGATGCTCAGCAGCTGCGTGTTGAAGCAGCTGTCTCCCAGACCCAACAGGAAACTGCAGAGGATGGCGACTTCTTTGCTGCATAAAACACAGGCAGAGGTAGTACGACGTTTACCGACATCCACTGGAGTCATTTCCAACGGAATGAAAAGAAAATAGGCACCCACCCAGGAGAGCCCTTTACCTCCAGGCTTCCAACACCACAAAACAAGAATAGCTACTGGAAGGTACCAAATACTACTCTGTACTCAGAGCAAGCCACTCCCCTTCCCAGTCTAGAAGGCGGATCTGTGAGCCATCGGGAAACAAATGCTGTTTGGGGGCGGGCACCCCTTGCATTGTGGATCCAGACATAAATGTTGTGTCTACAAGGAACCTGAGTTGAGTAAGCTGACACAATATCAGCAAAGCCTAGTAAACAACTCGGCCAGGCCCAGCTGGCAACCTCTCCCCTATTCCTCCTGCAGAGCCCTGACTGCTCAAAAAGCAGTTACAGGAGTCCAACCAGATTCGCGGGTGCTCCTTCACGTGTCAAAAAAAAAAAAAAAACAGACTGCGTGGGGGAAATGGGTTAACATGACAAAAATAACCTGGGACTCTGAATTCCTATTTAAACTCATCCTGACTCCAGTAACACATGACAGAGACCCTTAAAAACCAGACTTGCCAAAGAGATGAACTTCTCCATTTTAAACGCCACCTCCTGCTGTCCCCCAGCCTTCTCTACACTACAGAGGGACGGCCCTCACTGTACCTGGGATTGATGTAAGCACTGCTGTCCGTTCCTTCGACGGGAGCAATGGGGGCGTCCCCGGGCATGTTGAGGAAGATCAGGTAAAAGGCCACGAAGTGCACCAGGATGCCCAGCAGCACGACGGGATTCCTTCCAAAGCGGCTATTCTTGCTCAGCAGGCCAAAGAGGCTTCCACCTGCAGAGTGGGACAGGGGGATGCTGCTGACCAGGGGGCCACGGACCAAACAGCCTCAGACGGCCGGCGTCCGCACCAAGACTGACACCGCAGCCCTTGCAGCCAATGAGCCAAATGCCAACTGTTATGACAGAAACAGGTCCTCAAAACACTCACGTTTCCCTCGTCAGTGCTCTTGTATTCTCTGTGAATTAGACAGCCCCCCAAAAAAATATCCCCTTTGATCTACAGCATAAAACAGAAACGAGGACATAAAAAAGGGTGTAATTTCTCAACTCTTACACATGGAGTCACCATGAGTCAGAATCGACTCCATGACAACTGGTTACCATGTTTAAATTCAGATTTCTGTGTAAGCTTCCAAGATGGGGTAAAAAGGCCCACGAAGGTTCAGCGACCAAATGGCTTAGAATGATTCCAGAGCAAGATGGAAGGTGCGAGACAGTAGGGCGTGCCTCTGAAGCATTAAAGAAAATGATTTCTACCCTAGAAATCTGTGCCTGCTGCCCTAGCAACTGAAAGTGAAGGTTAACAGTAAAATAAACATACAATCCACCTAGCAAATGCAGAACACACGTGAGGCCGTCACGGAGGATTTAGAGGCAAAAACACACGAAAAGATACCCCACGTCACTAGCCATTAGAGAAATGCTGATTCTCAGAATTCAGTGAGCCTTCCTTCTTTAAAAAATACCACCTTTACTGAAAAGCTTTTTCAAACTCATCTTTTAGAACCACCTTCCTGGTCACGTGACACTATCAGTCTCACTCCCTTTATCTGTGTGTCAATACAATTTATGGATGTTTAAGTTTCAGCACAATCACCAGCTGATACAAACAACTCCGGTTGTTTAGATCAATGATCTACCTTCAAGGGACAAGGTCTGCTACTCCCCAGTGGCATTCTGAAGAAAAGACCCTGATGGGGGCAAGTCCTGCTGAGGACTCACTAGGCATTCTGAGGAGGAACCCAGCTGCTTAACAGTCACTGAAGAACACCAAGGAGCCAGTGCGAAAGGGTAATACGCATTTGGACATTTAAGTGATTGGTTTCTTAGTCCCTCACAGGAGATGAAAAGTACCACCAGGAGCTGAGAAAGGAGCCTTTCCTTCTACCCCAACTGCAGACTTCAAGCCCTGGTCACCTGGAGCTCAAATTGGCCAAAGAGCCTCCCCGGCTAAGAGCCCTACTGGCTTCCGGCCTCTCCTATGGACCCAGATCCCCCGCCTGCCTCCCCATCCTTCCTGCAAACTGCCGCGCATGGCAATGTCTCCAGCTACAAGTCTGCGGAAACACCAAAGGGATGTGAGGCTGAAGGCCAGCAGAAGTCACTGCCGAGTCCAGAGAATGACAAAGGGCAGGGCTAAGGCAGCAGCGTCTGCTTCTTCTACTCAGAGCCCACTCGTCCTCCCACAGAGTTCAGGTCCTGCTCAAGGAGGCCATCTTGGATAAGTCTCCTGCAAACTGCAACCCTCATTACCGACCCTCCTCAATGGCCCTGCACTGGCTTTTACTTTTCCCCGCAAAGAGACAACCTTCTCGATGACAGGAGCCTCATTTTAAATGTCCTTTTATTCCCTTAATAGCACTGTATGTCGGGTGAAGCACCAGCTGATGTCAACAGTGACTCACGGCGAACCCGTGTGTCCCCAGACTAGACCTGTGCTCCACGGGGCTTCCAATGGCTGATTTTTCAGAAGGAGACCACCAGCCCTTTCTTCTGAGGCGCTCTGGGAGACAAGAAACTCCCAGTTTTCAATCAGCAGCCAAATATCTTAACTGGCTGCACCACAACTCCAAAAACCTCACCGCCATCAAGTGGGTCCTGACTCACAGTCACCCCCATCGGGTTTCCAAGGCTGTAAATCTTTATGGAAGTAGACTGCCCCATCTTTCCCCCATGGAGCAGCTGGTGGGTTTGAACTGCAGACTTTCCGGTTAGCAGCCATTTAATGTCTGTTCAGAGAACATCTGACCAAATACGTGTCTGTGATTTCCGAAGTTTTTTTTCAAAAGGGACAGCAGATCCTTTGTTTATTAGGCCCCGTGATGGTTTCAAAGACCCTAACCCCAGACTCACAGCACGGGCCCACGAGTGGGACACGGGTGGGGGAGCCAGGACCAGCTCTTGGTGCGGGCTCTTGGCCTCTGTCCAGTGGGTGGGCAGTGACCGCTCCTACAGCTGGGAAGGTGGGCCAGGGGCCAGGGCAGGGCCCTCTGCTCCCGCTGCCACCAGCTTCTCCAGTTTCCACCAGCAGTGGCAGCAACGAAAATGATGGAAATGGGCTCCCTGAGGTTTTAACATGGTGCTTGGACAACGTCCAAATCACGTGACCCCATTTCACAGACAGGCTGTGGATGTGCAGCAGCACGTGCCTACATTAAAATCCTGAGGCCTCACACTCACACCTGACACAGGTAAGTTAGAGTTCTTTATTTTTAAGTTGTAACAGGACTATCGCTCAGGTCAAAGTGTGGAGGTGTCAGACGAAAGGCCATCCTTTAAGTAAGAGCAGCTGATGGCAGGAGCAGCCTCTCTGCTCCCTGACCTGGCATGGACAGAGATGTCATTAGTAGCCCAGCAGGGACCTGGTGTCATCCTCTCAGGAGTGAAAGGCAACAAACACTGCAATGACACAACGGTCTAGAATACAGACAGTCCCTGATTATGACGAATTTGAGTTACGACAAACTGCGCTTATGACCATCTGTTTGGGTATCATTAGTAATACACTCTACCACAGTGTTGCAGCATGGAACTGGCTGAGGTTATCAATCTCAGATGCTCATTCACAGATGTTCAATGTTATGATTTACTGTTCAAACATTGTCATGTATCAGGCAGCAATGAAAAGAAAACAAAACAAAACAAAGAGGCACTCGACTGCTATCACAGCCGACTTAGGACGGAACAGAATGTCGTCCTAAGTTGAGGGCAGCCTGTAATGAGCTGACTCTAGGAAGACCAAATTTCAGAGCAAGCATAAAGAACGCCACACAGATCTATGACGTTAAACACACAAAGGTGGGGACGCACAGGGTGATGTGATAACAATCGAGCACGAATCCAGATTCATGCTCCGCCAGTGTGCTCCCACGCTGCCCGAGACCCTGGTCCACTCTGTCTGCATCAGCAGACATTCAGCACCAGGGAGGCCACGGCCCCAGGAATCTGCTCGCTAAGGCGACGCCCAGACCACAGCTTTGGCACCAGAAACCACACTCTGAAGGAGAAAAGAACAGGTCAGCAGGCCTCTCAAAACAGCAATGGGAGTGACTGCCTGGAGAGAGATGACTTTGCAGAGCTGAAGCAATGCTTCAAGTACCAGAAAGGCCATCCTCGAGGAGGGCTACGCTTGTTCTGTGTTGGCACCAAAAACAGTTAGAAAAAGCAGATGGACATGACAAGAGTCGGGATTAGAAAGAAATTCCTAATGATGTAAATGATGCAAGAGTGAACAGACTGCCTACACCTGTATCAATAACAAGAGTGAGAAGAAATCGCCAACTCAAGAAACCAGAAAGAGAACAACAAAGCAAACCAAAAGGAAATACAAAAAGGGGAAATAATGAAAGCCAAAATTAATGAAGTAGGAGACAGAAAAAAATGTAAGTTAATAAATCAAAATCCTGGTTCTTTGAAAAATAAACATAAAATAAGAAAAACTGACAGCTAACCAAGAAAGGGGGAGACGACACAGAGAAAACACAAAAATACAAAACAAGAACTGATCAGGGGAGAGTAACTCGAAACAGGAATTTTAACAAATCAGTTCAGACAACTGGACAAGTTGGAGTACCAGGAACTGAACCACCGTCCTGCCTGAAAAAAGCAAGCACACAGAAGTAGGAGACCCTGGTTCTGCAGACACCGGATCTAAGGTGGCAGAGGGCAGTGATCCCCAGGAGGTAGCCACAAGCAAGGGCACCCTACAACTGCCTGCGGACTGCAGCGACAGGCTTCAGGCCACAGCGAGGGAGCCCAGTGCCTCCAAGCTGGAGAGACAGAGCCCTCAGCCTGGGGACACCAACGAGGCAAGAGCCCACGGGACAGAGCTTCTGCAAGGAGGGCTGCACAGAGACTGTTGCAGAGACGGGCAGAGGGGCCGTCTCTCCAGCTGAGCACTACTCAGCACACGCAAGGCAGGAGGTCAGCAGCCAGGCAAGACGCAGACTAGACAGTAGGAAGGTACTGGGCCTCACCCTGGGCTGGGAAGGGCGCCCAGTCCTACCAGCCAGACCGGACAACCACCTGATTCACAGAGCACTGGCGGAGTCCACACAAGGGCCCTCCCTCGGGACTGGAGCAGTCAGTCCATAGATGAGCTCTGCTCTGGCCCCACCAACGAATCTGAAAAGCAAGACCTGAGAGGAGGCTACTGGCCCAAGTAACTTAACTGTATCCAAGAACAAAGCTCAAAAATATTTACAGGAATACACACACATCCAGCACCTCAGACAGTAACCTTCAGTGTCTGGTAGCCAATAACAAATTATCTTGTAGGAAAGCAAGAAAATACGACCCCTCATGAGGGAAAAATCACACACAGAGGGATCAAATGATGCATCAACTAGACTCTTAGGTATGGAGCTAAGAGCAATGAAAACACACAATGACACAGAAACACACACACGGACACTCACAGCAGCAACTTCCTAGCAGCCACAAAGTGGAAACCACCCAAAGACCCATCAACTGACGAATGGATGACAAAATGAGGTCCATTCACACCACGTGGGTGCATCTGAACAGGCAGGTGAGCAGGGATCTTTGTGTTGTTCACACAACGTATGTACAGTAAATATTTGCTGAGTTGACAAATGCCTTGTATCTAACACAATACACAACACAGTGCGGGTGGTGAACAAGCTAATGAAGGAGTGACTAGAAGTCAGGGATCCCAAGACCTCTCCTTGATATTAAGTGCAAAGCTTGAGAGAGACCACATGTCTTCTTGTTCATGGTTTCATTGTGAATTATTCGGAAATGTTTTATCATCTGTATTGGAATGGTGATGGCAGAGAAGACAGAGGCTGACCAGCTGGAGGGAAAGTAAGCACCAGCAGAGAGTCAGGGACGGAGAAAGGACGCACATGTCAAAGTTCAAGTATAATCGTAATGGGCCGTTTTTTTTTTAATGCAAAGACTTTTTTTTTTTTTTTTTTTTTAAACCAACCTAAAATTTCTCCAATGCCGATGAAAATGCCAGAAAGTCCAATGAGGCTTTTCTCTTCTGTCCCAAATTTATTGACGGCACCAATGCAGGTTCCATAGACACCAGAGAAAAACGTCAGTTCCAGACCTTTAGGAAAAAGTCAGATGTAAGTTAAGTATCCACTCATGCCCTCCCTTTCCAGCCAACAGCACGTGAACCACAAACATGCACCAGTCATTCAGCCTGAGCTGTTACTGTGGCAGCCGGGCCCAGCATTCTGCTGTGTAACAGAGGAGAGGAAAGCAGCCCCCACGTGGCAGCTGCTGCACGTTTCTGATAAAAATAACCCAGCAAAGAAGCCAAGGTATCCTGACGTTGCAAACTGGCACCTCTGTGTGCTGGCAGGGAATGCAACGGATGTAAGTGACATAAAGGACCCACTATCCTTCCAGTAGCTTCCCAGGGAACAACAACGGACGCCGGGAAAACCAACGCATGCTACCCACTGTTGCTTAAAAGCACAATAATGCTGAAATTAATCCCTTTTGCTCAGAAAATTCCAAACATATAAATAACAGTCAATCAGTAGAGGGCCTTGACTCCTTAATGCTACCTAACTACAAATTATAAAGATGTTTAATGTTTATTCTAAGGAGCCCTGGTCATTCAATGGTTTAGCACTAAGCTGCTAACCCAGGGTCAGTGGTTCAAACCCACCCAGCAGGTCTGCAGGAGGAAGATGAGGCTGCTCCCATAAAGACTGCAGCCTCGGAAACCCTACAGGGCAGTTCTAGTCCTCATCTACACACGGGTGCGGTTTGAGCAGCATCACCTCAGTGGCAGCCAACGTTTATTGTGCAGTCCCTGGGTGGGGCCGACGGCTAAGAGCACTCGACTGCTGACTCACATAGAGTTCGAGTCCACCCCAAGGCACCTCTGAACAAAGGCCTGGCAATCTACTTCCCAAAAAGCAGCCACCAGAGATGCCATGGAGCCCAGGCCCGCTTTGACAGACACAGGCCACAGATTCGACTCAACAGCAACTTGGTGGTGAATGTTTGTTCTGTTTCTCCTAAAGGGAAGACGCTGCACCTCCGAGGCACAGGAACGCAAAGGCAACAGGCGGCATGGTCAAAACGCTCTGAAAGGATACCAACACCCTCACCATCTCTCCGGCCTAGGCGGGACCACCTACTATCATCTCCACAGAGTTTACTGCACTGCGTCAGAAATCACCCTAACCCACTGAGAGTGACAGGAGTGCAGGCATGGGGACTTTCTGTAGTGCTCCACGACACCCTAGAATCACCACATACTCGTGCTAGGAGACCCTCACCAAGATGGGCCGACATGGTGGCTGCAACAAGGGGCTCAACCACAGCAACGACTGTGAGGCAGGCACAGGACTGGGCAACGTCTCAATCTGTTACGTGTGGGGTTGCTGGGACTCAGAGTCGACTGGATGCCACTAACGGCAAAGTCCCCAGACGGTGCCCAGGGAGCGCCCCCTCCCAGTTCGCGTGCCCTTGTGTGGCTCTCCCACACTGACTCCGGGCCAGCCCTGAGATTTGCTCTGAGCAGCATAGAAGGCAGCAGGAGAGCTGCCGGGCCAGTTCCAGGCCTGGGCCTTAACAAGACCTGCTAGATTCTCCGTCTACCGTTTTGGAGCCCTCTGTCAGTACAGAGTCAGTCTGGCTGTCCCACCGGCTCATGACGAGGGGATCACGTGAGGGATTGGGTGATGGCCAAGGCCTGAGACTCCAGGAAAGAGACCCAGCTTTCGGCTGACCCCAACAAGGCCATACCTGGGCATAAGACTGTCTTGGAAGTTCCAGTCTCGTATGCCCTCTGACAGCAGCCAGAGACCCCCACTGAAGAGCCATCCAGTTGAGTGAGCCCCTCACAGATAACAAGGTGATTGTTTTATGCCCTCAGTGTCTCTATACAGCCACTGAAAACCAGAACTGCAATTAACACAGTAATTAACACCCACCTGTATAAGCAGTTGTCATACTAAGAAGGAGCATCTCCTTGGTGACACATAACTTAAGAGACTTTTCTGTAAAAAATGAAAACAAATGGAGGAGTACTCAATTAGATCTGAATTAATGAAACAAATATTCTAAAACATTCCTTGAAGCAGAGCACCCGTTTATCAAGAATATCAGTAAACCAAGACTTTGGGACAGGGTTAATGATTAGTGTTAAAACACTGAAGGTAGGAACTATAGAAAGGAAGTATTTCGCTCAACTGCTTAAATCCATTCTAGAGCTCCATTCCTCCCACGTATTCTCTAGCTCTCACAAACGAGCAACATGAAAAGGAGAAAAGACCACCAGGACCTCACCAGCAGGATATGTCACCATGTCACCAAGAGCAAGACTACTGAATGGAGGCAGCACTGGGCAGAGTGTGACCTTCCCTGTGGTCATCATGGGGCAGCTCTGAGAGGGGACTTAGATCAGGCTCACAAGCTGGGGCAGGACCAGCTCAGCGATCTGAGGAGGGTAGCCTCAGCTCTGCGTAGCCCTTTACCACCGTAATCACTTTAATGTCTGCCTATCTCCTTATTACCACGATCCTGTTGTAACTTTTGTGTCTACTCTATTCAATTTCATTGGAATCTGCAATGCAAAGTGAATCCCTGAACACGATACATTTTTATGTAACTGTCTTTTTGAACCTGCTCACATCTCATGTTGTTGTTGCCATCGAGTGCGACCCGACTCACAGCGACCCCTCCTTGGGTTGCCGAGGCGGTATCACTACAGAAGTAGATTGCCCAACCTTCCTTCCCAGGAGTGGCTGGTGGGTTTGAACTGCCAGCCTCTGGTTAGCAGTCAAGTGCCCTAGGCATTATGCCACCAGAGCTCCCTCTCATAATGTAAAGACCACTAACACATGAGGCTGCTAATTGAGAGGCTGCATGTCCAAGTCCACCCAGGGGCGTCTCAGAAGGACGCTCTGATGATCTACTCCCCAAAAATCAGCCATTGGAAACCCTACGGCCAACAGCTCTACTCTGGCACCACGGGTCGCCAGGAGTCAGAGTCGGCTGGACGGCAGCTGCTTGGCTACTCTAGAACATTAACCAAGAGTGGAGCCAGATTTTAGTTCTTACTCAAGTGCTGACCTTGAAACTTACATAAAGCTGCGAACGTTCTGCCCCGACCTTCTCCATGTGAAAACAATAACAACATGTTTTCCTTCTAACTTCACTGAAATCTGGTGAAAAGAAATGCAATGCAATGTTTTCACCAATTATTTTCACGTTTCCAGAAAAAAACATAAATTTTCAAGACAAAGTACAAAACAACATTTTTTTAAATTAAAAATAAAATTTACTACAACAGCAGAGCATGTTCACTTTTGAATAATCAGAAAGTTAATATAATAGAAAATTCAATTTGTGAAAACTGACAGCCTTATCCTAAAATTTATGTGAAAATTTAAGAGACCTACAATAACCAAAATCTACTTCTATAGCACCCAAGGAGGGGTCGCTATGAGCCAGGTCTGACTCGATGGCACATAACAACAACATTATGAGATGTGAGCAGGTTCAAATCTTTAAAAGATTTGAAGTTGGTGGACTCCCATTTCCTGATTTTTCAATCAGGGAAAAAAAACAAAACAAAACAAAAAACAACTGTAACCAAGACAGTATGATACTGGAATAAGGACAGGCATAGGGATCAATGGAACAGAATTTGGAAGCCAGAAATAAACCCTTACATTTACAGTCAACTGATGTTTGCCAAGGTTTCCAAGGCCAATCAATGGGCAAAGAATCGCCATTTCAACAAACGGAGCTGAGGCAACTGAATGACCACACGCAAAAGAATGAGGGTGAACCTCCCCCTCACCCCACACACGAAAATCAACTCAACATGGACGATAGATCCAAATGTAAAAGCTAAAACTATGAAACTCTTAGAAGAAAACTTTGGAGTAAATCACAAGTGACAAAGGAGAAACTAAAAACATTTGCAAATCATATACACAGTAAGGGACTTTCCTCCAGACTACGCCAACAACAACAACCCAAACAACTCAATAATAAAAAGCCAATTTAAAAGTGGCCAAAAGATCCAAATAGACCTTTCTCCAAAGAAGATATTATTTGTATTCTTTGATTTCTGCATTCTGTTGGATCACCTTTCTTTGGAATGGAGACAAATAGGGATCTAGTCTAGTTGGTTGGCCAGGTGGCTGTCTTCCAAATTTCTTGTCATAAACAGGTGAGCACTTCCAGTACTGCAGCCGTGTGATGAAACATCTCTACTAGTTTTCCATCAATTCCCGGAGCCTTGTTTTCCACCAATGCCTTCAGTGCAGGTTGGACTTCCTTCAGTTCTTGATCATATGCTACCTCCTTGATACGGGTGAATACCAACCAATTCTTTTCAGTACAGTGACTCTGTGTAATCCTTCCATCTTCTTTTGATGTTTCCTGAGTTGTTCAATATTTTGTCCATAGAGTACTGCAACTCAAGGATGGAATTTTTTCTTTAGTTCTTTCAGCTTGAGAACTGCTGTGTTTTCCTTTTGTTTTGCTAATTTCAGGTCTTTGCACACCTCGTTGTAATACTTTCTCTTCTCAAGCTGCTCTTTGAAGTCTTCAGTGCTTTTACTTCATGTCTTCCTTTCACTTTAGCTACTGCACATTCAATAGCAAGTTTAAGTCTCTTCTGTCATCCATTTTGGTCTTTCCCCCCTCCACCTCTCTTTCCTGTCTTTTTAATGACCTTTTGCCTTCTTCATGTATGATGCCCTTGATGTCATCCCACAGCTTGTCTGGGCTTCAGTCGTTAGTGTTCAAAGCATCAGATATATTCTTGAGATGGTCTCTAGACACAGCGGGGTTATACTCAAGGTTATACTTGGACCCTTGAGGGTGGGTTATACTCAAGGTTATACTTGGGCCCTTGAGGGTGGGTTATACTCAAGGTTATACTTGGGCCCTTGAGGGTGGGTTATACTCAAGGTTATACTTGGGCCCTTGAGGGGGGGTTATACTCAAGGTTATACTTGGGCTCTTGAGGGGGGGTTATACTCAAGGTTATACTTGGACCCTTGAGGGGGGTTATACTCAAGGTTATACTTGGGCCCTTGAGGGGGGGTTATACTCAAGGTTATACTTGGGCCCTTGAGGGGGGTTATACTCAAGGTTATACTTGGGCCCTTGAGGGGGGTTATACTCAAGGTTATTCTTGGGCCCTTGAGGACTGTAATTTTCTTCAGCTCAGCTTCCACTCCGACACAAGCCACTGACGGCCCGCCCCACAGCTGGCCCTGGCCCTGGCCCTGCTCTGACCGAGGATACTGAGTTTCTCCAGTCTCTTTCCACAGATGTAGTCGCTTTGATTCCGATTATTACATCTGGCAAGGTCCATGTGTATCGTCACCATTTATGTTGTTGAAAGAAGGTATTTGCAATGAACAAGTCATTGGTCTTGAAAAATTTAACCACGCGCTCTCCAGTGTCGTTTCTATCCCCAAGGCCGTACTTCCCAACCACCAATCCTTCGTTTCCAATGTCCGCATTCCGAAGGTCACCAGTAATTATCAACGCATCTTGAGTGTACGTTTGGTCAATTTCAGGCTGCAGAAGTTGGCAAAAATCTTCAATTTCTTCATCTTTGGCTTTAGTAGTCGGTGCATAAATTTGAATAGCCATATTACCTGGTCTTCCTTACAGGAATACGGGTATTATCCTATCACTCTACTTCAGGATAGATCTTGAGGTGTTCTTTTTGACAATAAATACAATGTAATTCCACTTCAGCCTGTCTTTTCTGACACAGTAAACCATGTATGATCACCCGATTCAAAATGGCCACTGCTTGCCCATTTCAATTCACTAATGCCTAGGATATTGATCTTCAAGTGTTCCATTTCATGTCTGATGACTTCCAGTTTTCCTAGATTCATACTTTGTACATTCCACGTTCTGATTTTTAATGGATGTTTGCAGTTGTTTCTTGAGCCATGCCACATAAGCAAATGAAGGTCTCGAAAGCTTTACTTCATCCATGTCACTGAGGTCAACCCTACCTTGAGGTGGCGGCTCTTCCCTAGTCATACTTTGAGTGCCTTCCAACCTGAGGGCTCGTCTTCTGGCACTATACTGGACAGTTCTACTGCTCTCCACAAGGGCCACTGGCCAAATTTCTCCAGAAGTCGATCACCAGTCCTGTCTTTCCATTCTGTCTTAAGCTGGAAGCTCTGCTGAAACCCGTCCACCGTAGCTGACCCTGCTGGTATCGGAAATACCGGCGGCAAAGCGTCCAGCATCACAGCAACACGCCAGCCCCCCACAGTCCAACAGGCTGACAGACGAGTGGTGGAGAGATACTGCCTGACCCAGAAATCCCACTCCCAGGCAGACACCCAAGAGAAGTGATATGTCCACACAAACACTTGGACGTGACTATATGACCCACCGCCGTCAAGTTGGTCCCGACTTATAGCAACCCCTCCTTGGGTTTCCAAGGCAGTATCTCTATGGAAGTAGATGGCCCGGTCCTCATTCTGAGGAGTGGCTGCTGGGTTTGAACCACCAGCCGTCTGGTTAGCAGTCACATGCCTTAGGCACTACGCCACCACAGCTCCTCATGACTGTATGTAGCAGCCTTATTCATAATAGCCAATAAAAAGGAAAAACAACTCAAATGTTATGACATGCTATAACATGGATGAACCTTGAAACCATTATGCTAAGTAAATGGTTTGCTTAGCAAAGGACACAAAAGGTCACATCCTGTATGACTTCACTTCCATGAAATGATCAGCACAGGCAAATCTAGAGAGACAGAAAGGAGGGACGGGGCGGAGAGGCTGGAGGGAGACCAGGAGTGAGTGCTAACAGGCATGTAGATTTTGGAGGGTGAAAAAACGATTGTGATGATAAACAGTGAGCATACTAAAAACCTGAACTGTATACTCAAAATAGGTGAATTATATAGTATATGAATTAAAGCTCAAGAAAGCTGCAATATTAAGGGAAAAAGCAGATAGCCTAACACCTTAATGGATCTCCTTCCAGACTTTTTCTG